CCATTTCTCTGGCCGTTCCTCTCCCAAAGGTGCTCTTCAGCTCTCTCTCCTTTGACTCCTCCTCTTAGCAGACTTTTCCTCCCTCTTGGCTCTCAGCCATCATAACGTCAGCCACAGCGGCTCAGGAGTTCTGGCTGTAAGCTCTTTAATCACAGGTAACATGGGTTAGTGGAAAGTCGGTCAGATTTTAGTCCAATGGTCTGAGATTTTAAATCCTGACATCACCTTCTGGTGGCATCATTTTCCTCCATTAGAGAATTGTGATTATAGCAGCCTGGCAGGGTGGCTGTGAGGATGAGGAGTAATCTGTCTACACAGCACCTGGTAGAAGATGCTAAAGAAAATAACATTTTTTCTATTATAGTAAAATTCACTTAGACACACAGGTATCATCCAAGGTCAATGTTTCTTTTCCCCAAAGCAATCTTTCCTGTAGACATCTGTCTTTCTAGCAGTACCTGCCAGTCTTTTAGGCATTTGTCCTGTAAACATGTCATATTGAGTTCTACACGCGCCCATATTTAATCAACTACTGAGGCCTGTCTTTTTCTCTTCTTCCATTACCCCCAGTCCTGTATTTTAGAATTTCCTACTTCAATAAATGCCATTATCATTGGCTAGTCTCAAATATCACCTTTCTGACGCCGCTCCTTCATGCCCAGACCCCTCATGGGTCCATATTAACCCGGAGTAAAGTCTAAATTCCTTAGCATATATTAAGAGTATCCACTCTCCAGCCTTAGAATTGCCAGATTTAGCAAATAAAAATACAGAATGCCCTGTTAATATTGAATTGTCGATGAACCCATCAATGTTTTTTAGTATAACTATGTCACATGCAACATTTGGAGCATACTTAAGATGATAAATTATTCATCATTTATCTGAAATTCAAGTTTATCTGGGCATCTTATATTTCATCTGGCAAACTTATTGGCCTTGACCTCTCTCTTTGGTCCTATAATTCAATACTCCCTACAAGCTCTGGCTACTCAAAGCCTCAGGGGTCACACTGCCCATTGCTCATACTTTGGCCTCAGTAGTGGGGGGGGGGATAAAGTCTTCAGAATCAAGAAAATCTGAGTTTGAACCTCAGCTGTCTTGCCTACCAACCCATTGGATGGACAGCTGAGTCCTCTAGCCTCAGTTTTTACCTCTGTAACTAGGCTAGTCCTGACACACACACACACACACACACACACACACACACACACACTGGGGTGGGTGTGAGGGCCAGAGCTGTATAAGGGCTAGGACAGTGGCTATGGTTTGTATCAGGACAGCTCCCTGAAGCCTGTGCACTCACAGCTGGGGATGTGGGGAGGGATCACTGGGATGTGCCACTCAGCAGTGGATCAGTCCACTGATGAGTTTGTAGCTAAATGTGATGTTGGAAGGTGGACCTGGTCGGAGGAGTGGTCACTGGGGCTGTGGCCCAGGTGGGTCGCTCTCCCGTCTTCCTTCCTTGATCTCCCTCTCTCTGCTTCCTGTTTCTCCTCTGCCACGCCACCCCACCTTGGAGCCAGCCAGCTCTAGAGAAACCTGTACAAACTGTGACCCCAAATAAACCTCTCTTCTTTAGAGTTGTGGGTGTCAGGCATTGTGTCTCAGTGACAAGAAAGTAACTAAGATGGCAGTTAAGATATCTCATGTGAGTTGATTGTTGCCCCGGCCAGCAGGGCTTGTAATTAGCAGAGCTCGAGAAGGGGAGATACCTGGAAATGGGACAAGAGAGGCGCAGAGAGAAGGAGACCAAGCAAAGAGTTGTCAAGGTCTTGTTTATTTGCAGGCATAGGCAGTATATAAAGGCAAAAACCACAAATTTGTAAGAGGAAGTAGCTAATCATAAAATGATAAAGGAGAAACATATTGTACAGTAACAGTTATGATGAGATACAGTTGTTATGTAACAGATTAGGTCATTAAATGAGCAAGGCCATTAGTACAGTCATCGGCACGTCTGTGCCAGTGAGGTGATTCAGATGTAAACATGGAGGTGGTTACGTTAGGCTCAAAAACAACTCTGAGAGTATGAATATTTGGTCTCCTACATCTCCTCCCTTTTTACAGTAAAAAAAATGAAGAGATATATATCACGCAAGCCAGGAGCGGAGGCCAATTAGTTTAGAAAGACCATCCCAAGTATCCTGATCTTGTCAGTAGGCTTTAACCATAGAGTAGAAGTAGAGGCCGGGTAGTTGGTAGAGGAAGAGATGGCCTTGACATCTCGACAGAAGCCCCTGTCTTAGGTTGATCAGTCAGGCGTTGACTGTCTTACCCGTCATTGGGGTCAACTGTAGCAAGAGAGGAGAAGTCTCCAGAAGACTTCAAGGATATTCCAAGGCCCTCCAGTAACTGTGACTGTAAGGACTTGGTAATATTTTCTTTTTGGACCTCTCAGATGTCAGGCTTATTTTCTGGTCTCCATAGATGTTCGGACCTGTAAATAATTTTCCTCCTGATCGGCCAGATCAAGATGATGGTAATGGATTTGGATGGCCTTGGCTTGCATGGTATCTATCTATTGTTTAATAAAGGCCGTAAGTCTATTAAATTTTAGAGGCCCGATGGTTAATAATATCAGGAGCCCTAATAGGGGCCCCAATAAGGGGAGGTGATAAGGTAGAAACCCATTGAGCCCAGTCTAGAGGGGGTTTTTGTGTAATTCCTTTTTGTATTTTTCTAAATCTTCCTGTAAGGTTTTGATCTTATCCCTAACAATATCAGATTTATTTGTATAAAAACAATATTGTTTTTGGAGTTCTTGATTAATTAGCGCCAATGTGGCAGAGGTGGTATTTAACCCTTTCACTACCTTGCAAGCTAATTTCCTAACTGCCTTATCAGCATGTATTCCAATTGAGGGTATACCTATCACAGAAATAATCATAGGAATAACTTTAGTATCTGTTTGCTTAAGATTTAAACACTGGGAAGTATAACCTTTATATTTGGCACAGAGAGTAAATTTTTAAACATAGTATAAGGTCTAATACTTTCAGGTGGGGTGCATATTGGAACCAAACATCTTCCAAGCACATAATGAAAATTTATATCAGCATTTAAACATATTTCAGACAAATTTAAGGATTCAGCTAATTGTTCCCAAAGATTTTTAGTATGACTTAAGTTCTCTTTGGATAATGCTATTATTGTCCCAAGGGAAATCACCCAGATCATAATGAAGGTCCAGTTGAGTGGAGTTTTATTTTCATTTCTCCTGGTTTGCTGACGATGCTCCATTTTCCGTGCCTCTGGACTGTTGTTCGGTCCGGGCTTGAGGTGGTTGCGATGGATCCACGTCGGGTGTTCTGCAAACTTCACAACCAGAGGAGTAGACAGGACAACTGGAAAAGGTCCCTTCTACCGTGGTTCCAAGGTCTTGGAGTCAAACCTGGTCTTGTAGTTGAGACTGTATTTCATGTAAAACTCTCAGAGATTTAAGCAACCTCAGATGAGAGAATTTCTTCTTTAATTCCATGTCTATATGGGGAACCAAGGGGGGAGTATGCCCATAGATAATTTGGAAGGGTGACAGATTCAGAGGAGGCTTGGGAGTACACCGAATATGCAACAGAGCAAAAGGGAGAATATCTGGACCAAAAGGTTATAAACAATATGCTGGAAAACCTGCATGGTCAAACAATATGAATACATTTTGTATACCAGAAAAGTGGTAATAATAATGAATTCATTTTTGCCCCTTTCCCTTTAATTTCTTGCCTTGCCTGATGGCTTCACTATGTTGGGCCTTATGGAGTTCTGACCCACATTGTTTTTTTCTAGGATATTGTTTAGAATTGATTGAAATGCTGGTTTGGTATTCATGAAGTTTCTCAGGTGTTGTTTGTTGTGGAAGTATCTAATTTCCTCTTCAATTTTGAAAGATAATTTTTGCAGGATACAACAATCTAGGTTGGAGGCTTTTTGTTTTTTTGGGGGG